CTGACAAACTATTTTAAGCTTAATATTTCTAGCTCATACAGCCCATTTTTATGAATTCTTTAATGTCTGATGTATTCCTTAAGAATATCTTCATGGAATTATATTCCAAGTAGCAGTTTCCAAAACATTTTATCTAGGATACAGACCTCAATACACTTTCCAAAATAAATAATGATGCTGAGTAAATCCTTTTTTCTTTATTCCTGAGTAAATAAGCTATTGCTTCAAGAAGCCTATATTGTTAAAGGAGGTTCAAGGGATAAGTATGTTACTTTGGTGCAAAGTATAACAGAACCCTCTGCATGGACCTATCTCTGCACATATAACAATTCCATTTGAATTTTCAGATGAAATGTTCTAGACACACTAGACCTGAATAATAAAAGTAAATATACAAGTCAGTTTTCAGCCACAACAGAAAACCCTGAAGTATAATGCTAAAATATCCTGAAGGAAGATTGGTCACAAGTTTACTTTTCTTCCTCTGGTCAGAGTTCAATAGTTGTAGGGAACAATCACCATACCTTTAGGTGAGAAAAACTCACTTTGTATACTATCCATTTCGTGTTCTGTTTCTCTTGTGTTGTTCTCTGCTGTTACAGGTATTGCAATTGAGACAAAATACATAAATGAAAGAAAATGAGACTGTTCAGATAATACCATTTACCTGATTCTGTGTGCCACCTCAACCATTTTTGCAATCACTGTTAATTCAGTATCAGAAGAAACTGGTCTGCAGTGATACAGATTTGCAGTGTACGAAAATGCCATTGAGGCCCACAGAACTGGTTATTTAGTGCTGGACTGTCCTTCCATTGGCTTCATTGATCCAAGCATTAACACTGCCAGGTTGCTGCTAAATCTTTTTGTCCCTCTGTGTGGAATTGTGTTAGAGAGCGCTAAGGCACCTCTGAATATCAGAATGCCAAATCATGGTGATTTTTCATGCTTTTATCAGCTGTTTCTGCAGCAAGAAGGCACTTCATCCCTTTTCATCTTTAGGATTCGTTTGTCAGGAGATTAGCGAAATTTGTGTCTGACAGCTAAATAATCTAATTATGCTTGCCTTGCAGAAATAGTGGGATTAAGATTCTGCCTGTTTTGTTGATCATATTCTGTTGTGTTGGGAGTCAGCCTAGGCTTGGAGTCAGAAAACACAAACTGTTTTCACCATGTTTTTCTTGTGTGACAGGAGGGAGCAAGTCAGAGTGCTATCTACAGAGAAATGTAAGTGGAACAAGGCTCACTGCCACCACCTAGGAAAGGGATTTATGGTAATCAGCATGCTGGGGGAGGACAGATGGACACAGTAGTCTTTAGGAGTGTCTCTGTACCACTGGGCTAGAAATATGAGGGCATAGATTGATATGCTGCCCTTCTTGCTGGTGATGAACCCATTCTGCAGCCAAGAATCCAAGATAGCTTTAGAGAGAAAATGCAGAACTTCACTTGTCTTTGCAGCCTGGTATTTAGGCCACTGCTGGGAGATGCCATTATGGGCATTCTGGTTTGTGCTTCATTTGACATTTAATTGCAAACATTATTGACAACATGATAGATTTCGGTAAATGAAGTGAGACAGTTTATGCTGGGAGATGTCAGGGATTGCTGACAGGGTTGAGGATCCTGTTCTTGGACTTGGAATGTCTAAATTCCAAAAAAGTCCTTCAAGTTCTAAGTCTTGTTTTGTGCTGGGGTCCCAAAGGGGTAAAATGTGCTTGCTTGCTGAGCCTGATAGGTAAGAATTAATCAGGTAAAAGACTAACAGCAAAGCTGGAGTTGGATATCAGTACTTTGTATAGAGTATCTGTTTTTGTCACGTTCCTAAACAATTTCATGAAGTGGAAATGTGAATAGATCAATGTGTCTAGAAGGGCCTGGACTGTCTTCTTATGTAAAGGCAGAACAAAGGAAGAAAAAGAATTATGCTGAAATCTTCAGTTCAACATACTGGGTGTTCTTCACTCCCATGTTTCCTTTTTTAGAAGCGAAGGTTTTGATAAATTGCACTGGGCCTTTAACTGAAGAAGACAACAAAATATCCTGTAGTAATTGTTTTTGAAAAGTCTGTGTCATGCAGATGTGTATTGGATCACCAAGATTTCAAGTTGGGCTTCCTTTGTTCTCCTCACCACTTCAAAATGTGGTAGATATTTGACCTGTATGGGAGTATGAGACATAGAACAGCTGCAGAGAGAGCAGGCAAGTTTCTGGCTTATATAGGAGATGTCACCGTCTCACATTTTTGTTTTCTTGTTAGAAAAATTGGTGGCTCTGATATGCTTGCTCTGGGTCTCCAAATCTTATCTATACTTGAGCTTTTAGCCTGTTTATAGCAGAACCATCAGATTTGCCAGATCACAGAGGATTCAGTATCTCTTAGAGTGAGGAAAATCTATCTTGGGTATTTCCTAATGAACAAAAGTACTCTATTAAGTTTCATGTAGGTGTTTTTAGAAAGTGTTGACACATTTTCCATGCAAATGTAGACCAATTGGAAGCATAAATAAATAATAATTTTTAAACCCCACCTCCTTTAGGACCAATTAACAGGACAATTAAAGCACCTTGGCAATTGAGGTCCACCTGAGACCAGATTTACATGAATTATCAATTTTTGTTCCTTTTTCCTGTCAGTGATGCTTGTTTCATCCCTAGAAATCCCAGAGTGTAGTCCCCTCACAATTAAAGAATATCAGTTCCACTTGTCTTCTCCTCTCCCTGTCCCACAACAAATTCAGGTATCCCTTCTCACTGGAGTGGGTCCTATGCAACCCCCATAAAAATTATTTGAATTCTTCCTCCTTAAGCTCCTAATAAAAGAACAGCCTTGTTTGAATAGTATTCCCTTTTCTGTTCACAAGTTGGTTCCCAATACTGATTTATCACCTGCACAGGCATTTGTTCTGAATGAATAGATGAAATAATGTTTTCAAGGATTGCTCTTGCATCTGCTTCTGTATATTAGGAAATTACTTTGCATAATGTATTTTTCACTAGGATGCACACGTATCTTCCTTTTTGCCCATGATTCTTTTGTTGTGATCTGTAGCTTGTCAAATTTTAGCCTGTTGCGGTTTTATATGGTGTTTGGTTTTGTGGCATAAAATCAATGATTTGTGTATAGTAAAACAATTACTAAAAAATTTCCTTTAATTAATTGGTCTTGCATAATAATTAGATCTTTAAAATAACAAAACCTCCCTTAATTTAAAAGGTTTTCATATTCCTTTAGTGAGCATGTCTTTATTGCAGTGCAGTTTAGAGTATCTGTTTTTGTCACGTTCCTAAACAATTTCATGAAGTGGAAATGTGAATAAAGGTTTGATCATGACTGAGCATGTACTGTGACACGCAGCTATCTTGAACTGCCCTGTTTGCCTCTGAAGCAGAAGCTGCCTTCCCAGTCTTGCTTTCATCTTGAAGTCATTCTGTACTTTTATTTGTGTATTTACAAATGCCTGGTAGCTTCAAATTCTTCATTATACCTCTTCTAGTACAATTTTCACTGCTTTGCAGATAGATCTCAGATTTATCATCATCCTTCTTGACTTTAAACTTCTCCAGCACAACCAGGTCATGAACTTTTCTTAGTTTTGCCCTCTCTTGATTTGCAGATATCTGTAATCTCCTGTTTTTTTGTTACCTCCCTAATCACTGGTTCAGCTAGAGCTTATCTTTCATTTCCACCTCAGGAAAGAATCTGGGAGGTTCTCTAGACTTTTATTGTTTATTTCTCTTCCTTAGCAGTTCACAAACTCTGGATTTTGAGTAGAGTTATAAGCTCCTCAGAAGGTCAGGTGTTTCTTTTTCCACCTGCAAATTAAATTTCAAGGGATGCATTTGGGTATTGCCATTCATAGTCTGCATTGCTGCCAACATGGATTTGATGGCTGTCTTGTGCACAGCTCTCAGAACTATCTTTCCTCCCTGTGTGCTCTTTTTACCAGCCTGAAATCCCTGTGTGTATTTGAGTCCCTTGAGATACATTTTGACACATTATTGCATATTATTTACATGGAGCTCTCAGTATTCTTTATAAACCTTGGAATTGTTCAGCTACTCAAACAGCTCTACTCCTATTGCTTCTTATATTGATCAGTGTTTTCTCATGGTCCTTATGGTACTCAGTACTTCCAAGGCTAGAACTCAGCACTCTGGTCTCTAAGCTTTTACTCAGGAGGTCATGAAAGCATAGAGGAGCTTTGTGCTCTTTGTGCAGACCTTGCAGGGAATGGTAGCTAGGGCTTTTCAGAAACAATTAGGCTCATTTTCTCATCCACACAGTGCTAGGATTTTAAAGATAGAAAACTTTCTTCATAGCAGACAAGCTGAGAGAGAGGGGGGATAGCATGCATGTAATAATAGAAGAGGATACATAAAGATAAATATCACTGATTTTATTCTATTTTATTTTGGTGGGGGCAGTTTACTGTTTCAGCTTTGCTGAGGCAGGTTATTGCTTATTATAGTAGTTCACTGTAAATTAGTTACTTTTTTAAAAAAGACATAAAAAAACAATAAAATAAGAAAGAGATGTTGTCGATATAAAGATCACACTCAGTCTAGAATGACTGAAATTAATACTCCTTGTATGAACAGAAGTCAAGTGGGTTCCTTTCTGCTCTTTCTTTCAGCTTTGCTTTTGGTGTTGAATAACACCTTTCCCTAAGTCATTTCATCGATTGCTTAATATTCAATCTGCCAGTGAAACTTCTGTGAGTCCTCCCTGAAACTCAGGGAAGTGTTAAGGGGTTGTCATTTAAAAATGTTAGACACATTAGCAAAGGGAAATTAAAGAATCACATTTTTATTAATTCTTTATAATTTTAAAAAAAGTTAATCCCCAGTAACAAACATAAGTATACCTTATAATTTGCCTCTTTTTCTTTACTGTCCCTTTTCTACTCCTATATTTTGTATTTCCATTACTATTTTTTATGTTGTCCAACTTTTACTGAACCTGCAAATTTTAAAGAAGAATAATTATTTTTTTTCAGAGTGTTGGGAAGAAATTACCTCCAGCCACAGCAACTCAGGAGCCAACAAAAATAGAAGTGGACAGCAGAACAAAAAGTAGGTTTCATAGGTTTTTCTTTTTTGCACTTTGTGCTATTAAAAGCAAGCTGAATGCTTTTCTTTAGTTTTGCTTAAAAGAGTGTCCTGTGTGTAAAAAGGCCAGGATGCAGGTAGATATATTTAGGATAAACTTTGAGTAGGTGCTACCTTGACAAAATGTTTTGTTTCACAGATTCCTCTGAATTGTTGTTGCTCTTGTGACCCTACCTCAAGTTTTCTGCTACCAAAAATCAAGTTAAATTATGTGATCAACTTTCAGCCTTGAGGATACTTTGGAATTAATAAGAGTTGAATAAGATCCAATTTCAGGCTGTAACTTGTAGATAGGCGATAGAAAAAATTCTCTCATTGTAAATGCCCTTGCCTTTTTCCTCTTTTTAAAAAAAAAAAAAATTATTTTCTTTTTATTTCTTTATGTAGCAGAAATAAAACTGTATGCATGGTATAGTTTGTATAGGAAATCAAAGAGAAGGCTCCAGGGAGACCTTCCAGCAGCCTTCCACTACCTCAGGGGGACCTACAAGAGAGCTGGAGAGTGAATTTTTACAAGAGAATGTAGTGACAGGACAAGGAGAAGTGGCTTTGAACTGAGAAAGGGCAGGTTTAGATCAGATGTTAGAAATTTCTTACTGTGAGCATAGTGAGGCACTGGCACAGGTTCCCAGAGAAGCTGTGGTTGCCCCATCCCTGGCAGTGCTCAAGGGCAGGCTGGATGGGGCTCTGAGCAGCCTGGTTTAGTGAAAGGTGTCCCTGCCTATGGCACTTAGATGATCCTAAAGTTTCTTTCCAATCCAAACTATTCTCTGATTCTCTGACTTTCAGTTCTTTTTTGTATCATTTCAGTGATTAGCAATGAAAAAGTAATGATTAAATCTTTCAGGTGTGTCTCTATGCTGTTCTAGGGAGGCATATGTAACTAACTTACCAAATAACATAAATATATAATCCCCATCTTTTGATTTTGTTTATGTAGAGTTACAAATAAATGCTACAGATTCTGGTGGAAAAGAGTAAGAGGGAAGATAATATAGTCATACCTTAGAAAAGAAGCTGAATATAACAGAGCTGATTTTTTAAAAATATTGCACAGTCCGTCTTTCCTGATGTGTTTATCCTTTTTGATAGTTAGCAGATAGCATTTTGTCTCAGAACTGAAACAGATACAGACATATGAAGGAAAGCATCTGGATCAGCAGAGCAGAGTCTGTCTGAGGAAAGTGTGTGGTTACAAACTGGTTTGTACAGGTTTTCAGCTCAAAGTTGCAAAAGCAGCTTAAAAGAGCTTTTTGTGAGTTATTGTCCGTTAGCTCCACCACAATCATTGACTTGCTACATCCTCTTATCTTGTGCCTGCCGCCAGCAGGCTCTAATGGGAAATACTGCAAGAATTCAATTGTCCTGAGGAAGTGAAAACTTGAAATACTGAGAAATGTGTGAACTGTTAATGCAGAAGAGGCCTCCTGAAGGTGTTTTGATATTACCTTTGCCAACCTGCAGGCTGAGCAGTTCAAGCTGACCTGAGTGCAGGTGCCATCAGAAGGGGTGCTCCAGGGGTTTTCCCACCTGCAGCATAAACCCGTGTATGGGAAGCCAGGCTGCTCCTTTCCACATCAGCTCATACTTCTGACAGCTGAAGTTGCTCACTAAAGCCCATCCCAGGGTATGGGAGGTTCAAACTTTCCCATTTATAAACTTAGCTGGAAACCTTCTGACCAATGGTTAGAAAACTGTATCTTCTACTGTGATGCAGTGAGCTCTGGCTGACAGAGACACTTTTCCATCAACACTTTTGGGCTCTGGATAGTCATTCTTTCACCTCTTTGTTATTTCCCGTGGACACATCTTTTTGGCCAGAAAAGTATTTATTCTGTTGATGCTTTCATTCAACATCCATTTTGTCAGAGTTGGTGAGAAAGGTGGGCTACTAATTTGTACAGTATCTTGTTGAATTTTAACTAAACAGCATTATTTATTATTTTATCTTTCCTGGAATCTCTGGGGCCTCAGTAGAATTCTTGGCATCTCTGTTCATGCTTGGGAAAGAGAAGCACATCTATAGGAAGGTCTGATGTAATGTAATTATATATAATTCTCTTAGCCTCAAATGACATCATTGAAGACACATTTCATTCAGCTGAAGTTATCCTTCAGTTAAATTGAAAAACCTTTAGTGCAAATGAAACATGCTTCAGTCTGGTTTGGTGTTTACTATAGGCAGGGAAATAATGTCTTCATAATAAAGTTAATGCTTGATAGTCAGAAATTAGGAGTATGATCAGATTATGGCTATATATACAGATTATAGGATTATAATCTGTCTAGTATTTGTCATTTCTCAAAAATTCAATTTTTACTTTTTACCACAAACAAGCTTGATAGAGGATTCAGTCCAAGGAAGTTTGCAGTCTCAGAAAAACGCTGAATGTTCCAGTTGCTGTGTTCAGCACAGAAGTATTATTCCACCTTGGACCTCAAGTACTTTCACTTTGCCTGTGATGAACATGTCCCAGTCTTTCTTGGGGTCTTTAACTACTGAACAAAACAGACACTGTGCCATTCTCCAAGGAAGCAGCAAGAAAAAGAAGATCCATAGACTAAGTTATGGTTTAGTTATGGTTACTTACATGACTTAGTTATGGTTAGACACATGGTTTAGATTCCTTTGGAATTACTCTTGGAGATGAATGCTGCAAGCAAGACAGAGGTTATATTGGGAGAGGAATAATCTAGTTTTTAATTTTCCTAATTTCTTTCCATGACTGATGATGTTATTCCTTGATAATAAGGAATAACAATGCAGTTGCATTGAGAAAGAGCCAACTGAGAGAGGAAGCAGTGCCAGCAGCATCTTCACTCTCTGGCCCTGGGGCTTCACCAAGGAGTGATGGTTGCTGACTTTTCTCACACTTTGATTCCAGTCTGCTTTTTTCTGTAACTTTTCTGATGTGATGGGACAGTGATCAGCAGTGAGGCCTTAATGTGTCATCTGTTCTTGGAACATACAAGATGGGCTAATCTCTGCAATGGGATGAGTTGGTTGAAGCAGAAGAGGTGTGTGTTCTCTAAGGTGCATCTCCCAACAATATGCAATATAAATCTGCCCAAAAACAGATTGAAAATTTGTGGGATAAACAGATGACTCTTCAGGGCCAAAGACGACTTTTTGCTCAAAGAAAGAGCACAGTGAAGGCACAAATCTTTACAAGGATCCTGGGAAAACATCACTAGTCTTTTATGAATGAGGGAATGCATCTTTGATGAGAAAAGGGGAGAGCTTTTTGGTTTAGATTTGTGGGTTCCTACATTTAGAGGAGCATTCTGCTCTTGAAGTTTCATTTCTGTCATGTAGATAGGATGGCACATTAATGTGTGAGTGTTTACAATCCTATTTCTGGGTGAGATACGTGGTTTTCTATGAAATAGCTTACTTTTAGTATGAGTGGCTTGTGGTGAATAGGATATGTTGCAGAAAATATATGTAAGTTTTTAAGTAGCTCTGTTGGATTCTAAAATTCAGCAAAACAAAAACATCCACAACATCTGAGAGTTATTGTAGATTACTGAGACTGCACTAACGGAGTATAAATAAGCAGACAACAAAATAGCAAAGGCGGTAAGTCATAGAGTGCCTTAACCACAGCATTTAATTTGATTATTCCACTCACTATTTAAAATTTGTGTTAAGCTATTGCATAGGAGTACCAAGATCATAGCAAACAACTAATCTTTTTGCATGGTGAATATGTATTAATAGGACCACAGTTACTTCTGTTTCTATTTTTTAATAAGGTGGTGTTTTGACAGTTTACATCTTACTAAGGTTTGTGAAAATATTTATTAGTGCAATCTATTTATGAGTATCGAGTGTAGCAATTAATAGTAAAACCAAATCCTGATGAGTATAGTGTTTGGATTTTTTTTTTTGTCTAGTTTGTGGTTTTGGTAATAATTATGTCATTTTTCTCTAGATTTTGTATATTTTACTGCATTTCAGAAATGATATCAGTGATAGTCAAAGAGAGGAAGTTTAAGCTCAAGGAATACTACCTTAATGCTGCTTGTTTTCTTGTTTTGTAGTGCTATTGTCCATATTGATTGCTGTATGATTTAGACTTTACTGATGGGGAAATGTTTAAGCCTCAAAAATTAACAATACAAAGAAGCAACAATAGAAGTAAAAGGAAGAGATTGTGTCATCCTGCCCTAAGAGGAAAAGCAAATTCCTGAGTCACTGTCCCCTTTTAAATTTAAGCTTGAATGAATGTTTGTCTGTGGACTGCCTTCTTGAAGGTCTCAGCTTATCCTAAGAGTGTGGCAGGAGAACAAACAGAAGAGTCACGCTTTTGAAGTGAAGCAGCGTTCACTGATACAGTAAATGGAGTTTGCTCAGACCTGGTTGGAACAGTATAATATTTAACCAGTCTCTCAAAATACAAATTTACCTGCCATACTGCTGCAGGATCCCAAGTCCCAGAGCGGGTCTGTAGCTTGACATGAGCTCTTTAGCCTGCAGTTGTAAATACATATTGAGCACTGAATCCTGTCAGTGAAATACTGTTCTTGCAATGGCCTGGGTAATGAAGCAGCCGTGTCCTGTAGGAAGGCTGCCCCTTGCTGTCCTTCTCTCTCTTGGGGCAATGATTGAGGGGTTGAGACTTTATCAAAAAGGCCACATTGTCAACTTGGGGACAGTGTTGCACAAACATACATGATAACAACCCCATAAAAGATTTAATTCTATCTATATCTATATCTATATCTATATCTATATCTATATCATCATATCTATCCACTCAGTTATTTGAGCAGCGCCCATTGCCCATGGGTGGGAGGAGCTGTGAGTTTGCAGTGAGAGACTGTGATCTGACAGAGTAAAGTACTGCTGAATTAATAAAACAGGACTGAAAAGCTCATGAGTATCATCTTTTCTACTCCCTTAATGTTTCCAAGATATCTGCTGCTGGGGGTTTATTAACAGGTATATTTTTATCAGGTCAGGAGAAGAAAAAGAAGCTTCTGGAAGAACTGTGATGTATAAACCCAGCTTTGGATATCAAATGTAAAAATTAAATTTATCATCTACAGCTGAGAGATCCTGAGTATTGGTATCTTAGTTTGAAGTTTTAATTTGCCTGAAGTTTATTTGCCAGGCATGTAATAGGATATATTGTCTTTTAGTATTTTTCTGGATTTTTTTTTTCTCATTAGGAAAATCCCAAATTCAGCAAATTTCAGTGTGGTCTATACAATGCTGTGTCTGAAATTAGTTTTTGCTTTTATCTTCTCTTCCTTCCTATCTAAACATGACTGTTGACATTAAGTGCTTCTACATTGTCTTGTGGTATTGTGCCCTGCTGAGTAAGAACAATTTTAGTCCTGATGTGACATAGCCTATCAGATTTCTCTCTGCTTTTATTAATCTGATTTTAAAGGTTCATATAATAATATGAAGTCCTGTTGGCTTTGTTTTGAGTTCTCTTGGCTTTATTTTTGCTTGCTTAAATCATGTTGTTGATTTACCTATCCCTTAGGAGAAGTTTGAAAGCTGACTTTGTCCAGTTGCTTACACTGTTCCCAACCCATCTGTGATGTTGAGACCTCTGTTGCATGATCCAGTGGATTCAGTGATTTAGTATAGGTCTGTCTGAATTGTACTCAAGAAGTCAAGACTTCCACTGTACATAAACCATATTCTTTTTCTGTGGCTGTTCCTTCACTCTGTGCTCCTGTGCCAGCATTCATAGCACAGGGGGGCCATGAGCCTCCCCCAGTTTCCTTTGTGCCTCTCAGAAGTTTGTCTCCTGGCTCTTTATGAACCACATCATCGTTTGGTTAATTTTTGATATTTTTCTGTAGTTTAATTCCTTGGTATTCTGTTATTTGGATTTTTTATTTAAAGAAAATAAAAAGTTTAGAATTTGGTAGGGAGAATGGACAGATCATGGGGCAAGAGAGTTCTTGATACAACTAGAAGGACAAGATGTGTATCTGTCTGCTAGAGAGAACTTACTTCCTGATCAACAACTGATATTTCAGATGCTGAAACCACAGCACTCTCTCCACTCTTTGTTTATCAGGGTCTTCATCCTGAAAGACAATTCAAATAGCAAGCCTGAGGGAGGTTTATCTGTTACAGGACTCAGGATACCCAAGCCCTTTGCCATCTGAAATATGTGGGATTCATCCATGCCTTGAGCAGAAGCTGCAATGCAGGCATCCTGTTAGAGTGATGCTGTGGTGGCTGCAGTTTTTTAGCTGTACTTTGTGCTTGGCTTTCCACTTAATCTTCAGCTGATGCTGTTATTGAATGGAGGATCAATGTATGTGTCTGAGAATGGATGTTCTGGAATCATCCTGCTTGGGCTCAGGTGTTTTTTACCTCTGAGAATCCAGTTGTTCTGTATCCCAGAAAAGAAATGCTAAGCCTGTTCCCAGTAACTAGAGACTTGCCTGAGTGTGCAGCACTCAGCTTCTTTAATGCAGTATTACATCTACATCAACTCTGGGCTAATTCACTGAATCTATTATTTAGCACAGCTGCTTTTCAGAGGGTGGGCATACTCAGAATAGGAAAAAAACCCACGATGTTAATTTAAGGTAGCATGCCACTGAAGTGTAAAATGTGTTGAATCTCATATTTATCTACACGTTATTTACATATTTATCTAACTTAGGTGTTTTGCATCCACCTAAGTTATTGTGTGTCAGCTTTCAACAGCTTCTACATAAAATGTTGTTATACTGTCTCAAAGACAAGGCAGTGAGCAGGCAGAGCATCCTAGCCAAGTCCACAAGGAGACATCCCAACCCTTCCTCAGAATGCAGTAAAGCAGCAGTCAGACACCCCATTCATCCTCTGAATCTGAGTTGTGACCTGGTGGTTCTCACATGCCCAATGGTTTAGAAAAGTCACCAAATGTTTATTTCATAGTGTTCTCTGCTTTCAGAACAGAGAAAAGGATTTTTTTCCCTAGCTTGTTTCTCTTCCCTGAAAACTTTTGTTCATCGTCTTAATCTGAGTTTTGTTTCTTCAGAGGCACCAGAGGAGGTGGGGTGAGTGGACCCCACCCAGCAGCTATGCTCCACCCAGCCACTTGCTCCCCATAAGGGAGAAAGCAGAGCAAGCAAAAGTGAGAAAATCAATGAATAAAGACAGTTTGATAAATAAATGAAAGAGAAATTAAAAGGGGCAATACAAAGGCAACCACCATTCAATAGATCAATTCATTCACCACCTACAGTGGATCAATGTCCAGCCATTCTCCAAGGAATGGAAGCACCCCCAAAGCCCACCCATTTTTAGTGCTGAGCAGGAGGCCATATGCACAGAATATCCCTTTACTCGACTTGGGTCAGCTGCTGTGTCCTCTCCAGCTTCTTGCTCACCCTGGCCTACTTGGGGCATAGAAAAAGGGAAAAAAAGAAAGCTGTGTAGGTGTGCTGGGCAAGAGCAAAACACCAGTGTATTACCTGTGCAGTTTTAGTCAAATCAAAAATACAGCACCATGTGGGCTGCTGTGAAGAAAATTAACTCCATCTCAGCCAGACCTAATATGAGGCATGGCCAGAAAACCAACTGTAATGATCATGTGTAAATTCAAACATTTGTGTTCAGAATAAGAAATCTGTGAAGCCTAAGAAGTTCTTGTTTGCTTGAACCAATGACACATAAAATTCATGCTGTTTCTGAGTGGCAGTGTGTGAACTGAAGAAAAAAAGAGCTTTCCTTTTACTAGTTACTAGTACTTTTTAATTTCTCAGGCTGATGGTGCTTACAGATAGCAGATTTTCAGATGCACATTTCTGGGCTGCTTCTTTACAGTTGATGCTCCTCTCACTAAACTTTAGAAGTTTGGAGGGAGCTTATGTGTCAGAGCCCTAAAGTTGGGTTATAATCCTGAGTTTGGTATCTGGATTTTTCGGGGGGTGGTCCCACTAGACATCTGTCACTGCTGTCCAGGGAGTTCAAATCATGGTTCAGCCAATCAAATGTAGGTGTTTGCTCCTGGAGTCAGGAATGGCTCTCAAGGCTTTCCTCATTTTAGTGACTTGATCTCCATTGACTTTAGTGCACTGACCAGGTTGGTTTCTAACATCAGATACCTGAATCTAAATTTAGACACAAGGTCAAACCTTGGGGGCTGAAGTCAGTAGCTTGCATCTGGAGCTGTTTGAGATACCCCCAGGGTATTTTGTTTTGAATTGCCTCCAGCTGTCAGACAAGAGGGACCTGGCAATTCCATAGGTTCAGCCATACTATGCATGTGCTTTACATACCCACAAGTGTCTGAAAAGGCATTTAGTGTCTGGCAGCTGAACTGACCCTCTGGATGAGCCTCAAATACTCTCAAGTGTGATAATGCAGGTTCTCTTTATAGTAAGTATAAAAGAATAAGTCCTGTTATTTCAAATTGATTTGTGTCCTGCCAGTACTTCTCTGCATTGAATATGGAAGTTGACTAGACACAGAGGTCATCAAAACTGAGGCATTTAAAGTGAGGTGAACATTTCTACAAAATCACATGCCCTTCTACAAACAGTAGAGTAGTTTTCTTAGTCCTTTTAGACCTGCTGTCTTAGAGTATTGCATATTTTTATGCATAGTTCAACAGCTGTAAAACATATTCTCTTTTTATTTGTAAGGCACATTGACATACTCATCTGTTGCACAGCAACATGTAAGTAACTGCTTTTCATGACAACTGCTTTTTATGATTTCTGAGTAGGAGTGCTGGCTTCTGTATTTTCCAGATGAAAGTTGAGATGCCTATAGACAGTAAAGGAGAAAGGATCAAGGAAACTTAGAGTAATTCTTAAAACTCTTACACTGAGTGTGCAGGTGGTTTAGTTATTAATGCATTAACATTTATCAATGTATTATTTATTGTTGTACCATCTTTATAGATTCATAAATATCTGCTTTCTTACACACAAGGGGATACATAAGCTATGTCGACCTACTCTGTGCCTTATGCTTCCAGTTTATGCAGTCTGGTGGGAGGCCATACCAGTGGAACTATGATAAGGGCTTACTCTAAGGGAAAGAGTTTGTGGCAAGTTGCTGTCTGGAGCAATTTCATTTGAGATATTGGTTCTAGGGGCTACAGAGTTGGCTCCCTGGATGACGTGTGTAGGAATGCATATCAGTGTGCAGTTTTTTAAATATTTCATGTTGTTTATGAAGGTCTGAAATACAAAGAGAAAGATGGCAAGGAAATAAGGCAGCACAAAGAGACACTAATGGAATATTTTATGAAGATTATTTACCCTTGAATAAGCAGTTGTTATAAAGTGATAATTTTTCACAATGAATGTTCTTCCTTTCAGACAAGGAGTATTGCAAAGTGATATTTCCGTATGAAGCACAGAACGACGATGAACTCACAATCCGGGAAGGTGATGTTGTCACACTTATCAGTAAGGTAAAAGCAATATTATTTTCCTATAAACAGTGATACAGTTTTTAAAACTGACATAATTTAATTGCCATAAAATTAGTATTTGTACCTATAGTGTTGTTGCTAAACCATTGCTAGTTTGACAATTAAACATTCTGCCGACTTCAGAGCCCTTTATCTCCCTTCCTCTTGTAGAGCCTTACCCTGATAATGAATGCTAAGCAAAAAACAGCCAATGTGTACTCAAATTTGCTGCCAGGTCAACATAAATTGTAAATTGATCCCTGTAACAAGCACAATGCCTTAGAGAATAAACTGGAAGATTCAGGAAAGCAACAGCTTTGAATATCTCCCTTTGGTGAATGAGTTATTTTTCTTGTAGGAATTGGGAATTAGATTTTTGTGTTAGATTGAGTTAATGTGCCTAAATTAACTTACTGAGCTAAACATTTAAAATTTAGCCACTCTTAATATTCTGTTAAAGCAGAGAAAGATGACAGAACAGAAAAGAAATAGTTTTACACCTGTGTTTTTTTCTAAAAATACGTAACATTTTTCAAGATTAGAAATTAAAAAGCAGTGCCAGGATTTATACCAAATCTTCAAAAGCCAGAGAGTGAGATAATGAGTAAACAGTTTATTTTCCTTTAGAAGAGCTGTGCACCATGTTACAAACAACAGATTACAGTTAAGGTGCACTTAATTTCCTGCTCCTGTTTAAAGACTTTACAGTTTGTTTAAAAGTTTTTGATTGCTGGCCATAAATATTTATGGGGGGAAAAAAAATCTATAAACTAGAAAAAGCTGTGGATTTTCCATGAGGAAGATGAATCATAACAATGTACACAATACTGCTGTTTTTGTTTGTGCTTATATGAAAGTAAAATAATTAATTCTCTAATTGATGTGTCATAAGAAATTGTTATTTGACTGAACAATTTGGCACTGGGTGAAAAAAACCCCAAAATCTTGGGAAGTCTATCTGGGGCTGTGTTTGCCACATACGAAGCCATTTTCAATCCTAGAGGACATCTTTTTTGTGTTGAACAATATGCATGTAACCAAAGAAAAGTAATCAGGCATTTGGTAGGAAGAGAAACTGCAAATATAAAAATAGTGTACATTAAATTTCCTTTAATGACTTGCCCTCATTGAATTCTGTTTAGCTTGTTTGTAGAGCTGTGTAGCTTTACCTGATTTAGAATGTTCTCATGTGAGTATTTAGCAGTGTTTCTGATCATGAAAATGGCTTTTAAGATGTTGCTCCTGTCCATTTTATGCCATATTGACCAGAATGATTTAATTCCCCAAGATGGCTGTCTCTGGGTGGAGCTGTGTTCATCAGCAAGCATAGATAAAAAGACAATTCCATTACTGAGGTTCCTGTGTGAGATTTCATTAGCTTGCTTTTCTGCATTTTCTTCTTCCCTCTGCCTCTGCCCCCACAGTGGAAGGATATTTGTCTTTTATAATAACTAAGCTGATGATTTGACCACATTGATCAGTTTTCCAAATCATGCAGAGAGAATGGTTTGGAATAGTAAACATTCTATTGTCTAGCCCTGTCATTCTACTCTCTAGTGATATCAAGCAATTGCAGACATTTTATTTAACTTTCTTCTTTTTTCTGTGTCATGTCGTGTCTGTGAGCACTTACATAAACCCATGTCTCTAGGGAGTGGGGGATCTCAATGCTCAGAATCCTGGGGTTTCTCTAGGGATGCCTTTTTATGCACTGTCGGAACTGATCTGAGCCACTGAAGAAATGGTGTTTAACAAGCAGTCACTTTGCAGATCCTTTTGTGCTTTGCAGACCTTGTTGCAAGCCAGACTTGTGGGGTTTCTTCATCTGTTTTTAACACAGTTAAAAAAAATAAAATTCAGGCTATGTGGAGTCAGGGTCTTTGCTGTAGAGTTCTGAAAACAGTGAGATCTCCTTTATGCTCTACCACATAATACAGTAACTTTATTTTAATCCAGATCTTCTGAAGCAGATGTCTATTGTATTTTTCTTTTAGTTAGCAATAACAAAGTCAGCCTCACTTTTCTGCCCACCAATGGCTTCTTCTAGAGAGTTACTTGGAGTTCAAATCACCACACTTACATGACCAGTTAGTGAGCCATGCTGACTAAGAGGCATCAAAGAGAAACATATGGAATCCTTCAGAAATTATTATCATGGCTTTGCTTTGCTATCAGATAACAGATTTTCTTCTAATTTATTTGTAATGAATTGTTTTGCAAGATTTGCTTTCTTTGCTGGAAAGCATTAGGCAACATTTATTCTTCTCAATTATCTAGACTCAAAGAGAGAAGATTGGTACTTCTAAGGAAACAGATGGGTGTCACTGTACTTCCTACAACCACGGATGGATTATTATAAAATAATGTGTTCTGTTGAAATCACTAAAACCAAAAAGTTATATAGATTCCCAGCCTAAAATGTCTGTCACTAGACTAGTCTGTTTTTCCACAATTAGATCCATAGGAGCATTGAAGACTCATGATTTTAACTCATGCTGAAATTGCTTTTATTTGAAAACAACAGCATCGGTGAGAATATGTGGGAGTGGCTGAAGTAATGAGTGACAGAAGAATGGGAGAAAAATCTCATTATAAGAATGTAAAATCTCATTATAAGAATGTAAAATGCATTACAATAATCTTAAAAGCACAAAGATGAGATAGCACTTGATAGGTGCTAAGACAAAAGGGGATGAGCTAAATGAGATAAAATGGGATCAAATGAGCTAAATGGGAAGTTTCTACAAGAGCCTGGGTACAGGTGCACACACATGTGACAGTGGGCATGTGAGGAAGCTGTTAGTCTAATGTTCCTCTTAAAATGCTAAGACCTAATTTTGTGGAAAGGTGTAGAATCAGTAAATGCAGAATTCAATATCACCATTTTAACAGTATCCACAGATGAAAGGGATAAGAATATAGTAGATTTCTCTCTTTTATTCAGTTGAATTCATTATAAAAGTCCCTTTGTCAAGATCATAAAATACCTGTCTAATATAAAGAGCAGACTCTGTTTCAAGTTCATATTGTTTTGATGGATGTTGAGATCTCAAATCACAAGCTGGTCAGAACTTCCCAATAGGTCTCTGTGATAAGAGAATTTGAATATCTGAGGTTTCTTTTAAGTAGCTAAAGAATACTTTGAACAGATTTGCAGAATCACAAGTTACCTCCCTAATCAGATGGAGAACGTGCTGGAAAGGTTTATTTAAGTGCTGAAGAAAGTCAGTAGAGGCTGACCACTTGCAGGTCAGAATGGTGTGTATTTGGGGAGGTATAGGGTAAAGGATGGCATTATGCAAAACTGATAACCAAAAATAATTGCCAATCATTTGGAAAATATACACTATAAGATAGAGTCCAAACATATCTTAGTTAAAATATACCTAAAAGATTAAAGAAAAGCAGAAACTTCACATACATCTATTCCAAAAATTTCTGGAAAAAGGTTTTTCTTTCCTTCATTTCCTCAGTCAAGCAAATACCCTTGTAAATACCTAGGAAATGTTTTATTTATTAATAAGTGGAAATAAAAGTGGGAAAATGGTAGTGCTTTAATTATTTAATGCGAATAATGTAAAAACCCTGAAAATATTGGTCAGAATTGTAACAGAAGGTAAAATCTTCATCTTCAAGGCAATAAACTAATAGATCTGGTACCTTTGCTGTGCAAAAATGGAGTCTGAGAAAAATACACCTTTGAAAGAAAGAATAAAAAGCAAAATACAGTAATTTTATTTGTATAGTTAAGGAGATGATTGTGCATTTTGATGATTAGATATGTTTATAAGGTTAGAATTATGAATGGTAAGAGGTAATGAGATTGACACTGTAGATTATTTTTGTATTGTCAAACATTTTTGTTCCTTAGGTGTTTTTATTTTAGTGTCTTCAAAATACTCCTGACAGCATTTGGGTATGGGCAAAAGCACCAGTAATCACTGCACCCTGCAGCTGAAGGAGAGTAGCTAACAGGTCTTTTATCATGCTCAAATATTTATTTTGAAGATTGTATTTGTAATAAATACAGTTTCTTCTAAGCAGCAGAAGATTCATGTGACATTTTCAACTGTCATTATGAAAATTTTACAGGACTTTTTATTCCAGCTCTTAGACATAGCTATTGTGAACTACTTTTCTACAAATTTATTAATAGCTTTGATAAATTATGACAAAAGGCAGAGGATTCTGAAGACTTCACTGGCACACAGAAAATTACCTGTGTGAGGAATCAATAGAAATAGCAAATTTCAAAGCAAATACATCAAGCACACACTGGCAGCTGTGCGCTATTCAAAAGCAGTTTTATTGCAAGGATGTAAAGAAGACTTGATTGCAGTGCATTAATCCACATGAGTTCTAGACAGTAAAGACCACTTCGTTTCCAGGAGTGAAAATGGTCTGGATAAATAAAATAAGCTGCTTCTAATGCAAGTTTGAAAAGCTGGCAACAATAGAAAGATATCCTCATCTGAACCCTTACTATCAGTGGACAATACTGATACCAGTGACAATTTGGCTAATTCTGAATATATAAGGTGATTTTGCTGATGCTATTAAAATAGTACTGGTAAAGTTACTGCATTGGTATCATGAAAGACACAACAGGATAATTACTAGTGAAAAATTTACATGAATATTTATCTGGTCTAGATGTTCAATGAGATATTTAATTCAATCCAATTTGTAGAGCTTAATTCTGTGCTGGGGGGCAAAGAGCCACAAGCCTGGTTTTAAAAATGAACATAATGGCAACCACTTTTTACAAAGCTTTTGTTTGCTTTTGGTGTTATTGTTAATAATTTATTGTGAGATTTGTAAGTTTTGTGATTCAAAATTGTGTACATTTAGCAACTTCCTGCCCTGAAGCATATGCAGTCAAGTGATAAGACAGACAAGCACAGGTGAGTGGAGAGTATAAGGAAGCAATTCAAAGAGATTCAGTCTCGGTAGTCTCTTTCATCATGTCCTTTTCTCACTGCTGTAGTGGTGCTCTGTGT